TAGCACAGGTCGTCACCTGGCTACGTTTACACGTCAGCCAGGGTCGAGCCTGTACACACTGACCACTGCTTCTCCTCCAGGTGCTGAGTCTGGTAGAGTCCCTTCGTCTGGTCAGGTGTTTGCTGCAGCGTCCAGGTCTGGTCCTGAGTCTGCCCCCTGTTCGTGTCGCCGTCTGTCTCACGAGACCCTCCTCTGGCACCACCGCCTTGGCCACCCCTCTCTGCTTCGGCTCAGAGGCATGGCCTCCCGTCTTCTTGTGTCTGGTCTCCCCCGGTCCCTCCCTCCCCTTCCTCAGGGCCCTGGCCCTGCCTGTGTCCCCTGTGTCGAGGGGCGCCAGCGTGCTGCCCCTCACTCCTCCCAGTTTCCTCCGACAGAGGCTCCGTTGCAGACGCTTCACATGGACGTGTGGGGCCCTGCCCGCGTCCGTGGACTCGGTCACGAGCGCTACTTCCTGTTGGTGGTTGACGACTACTCGCGTTACACCACAGTCTTCCCCTTGCACAGCAAGGGTGATGTCACTGAGGTGCTGATCGACTGGATCCGCGCAGCTCGTGTCCAGCTCAGGCAGAGCTTTGGCTCGGACTTTCCTGTGTTGCGTCTGCACTCGGACAGAGGCGGAGAGTTCTCCTCTGGCCTTCTGCGTGCCTACTGTCGTGCGCGAGGCATCCGCCAGACCTTCACGCTTCCGGACTCACCGCAGCAAAATGGGATTGCAGAGCGCCGCATTGGCATGGTCATGGACGTCGCTCGTACGTCTATGATGCATGCGGCTGCCCCCCATTTTCTGTGGCCGTTTGCGGTGAGGTACGCGGCGCATCAGATCAACCTCCACCCCAGGGTCTCCAGGCCGGAGACCTCCCCAGCCCTGCTGTGGACGGGGAAGGTTGGCGATGCGTCGGCGTACCGGGTCTGGGGATCTCGGGCGTTTGTCCGCGACTTGTCTGCGGACAAGCTGTCCCCTCGCGCTGCTCCCTGCGTCTTCCTGGGGTTCCCCCCCGACGCCCCTGGGTGGCAGTTCTACCACCCCACCTCTCAACGTGTTCTGTCCTCCCAGGACGTCACGTTCGACGAGTCGGTACCCTACTACCGCCTCTTCCCCTACCGCACTCCGTCCCTCCCCCCGCCCCCGCTCTTCTTGGTACCAGGTCCCCCCCCGTTAGACCCCCTCCCCCCTGAGGGTCCTGCCCCTTCAGCTGTGTCCCAGGTAGACGCGGTCGAGCCTGTCGAGGTCACTAGTGACTCTGGTGCTGCTGCGGGAGCTGAGCCTGGGGGTGTTGGGACTGGAGGTGCTACGCCTGGGGGTGCTGAGCCTTGGGGCGCTGAGCCTGGGGGTACTGAGCCTGGGGGTGCTGAGCCTGGGGGTACTGAGCCTGGGGGTGCTGAGCCTGGGGGTGCTGGGCCTGGGGGTGCTGGGCCTGGGGGTGCTGAGCTTGGGGGTGCTGAGACTGGGGGTGCTCCGCCTGGAGGTGCTTTGCCTGAGGGTACTGGGCCTGGAGGTTCTTCGCCTGGGGGTTCTCCGCCTGGAGGTGCTTCGTCTCGCCGAGAGCCACTCTCCCCACAGGAGCTGCGTGAGTGGTTTGCCCGGCGCTGGAGGCGTGCTGCAGGTGCTGGAGGTTCTTCGGCTGCAGAGGGTGCTGCTGCCGAGCGTCCCGGAGGTGCTCGTGCTGTGGGTGCTGTAGCTGCTGAGCCTGCGGGTTCTCCTGGAGCTGGTGCTGCTGAGGGTGTTGGCGCTGAGACGACCGCTGGCGGTCTGGCTGGCGGCGCTTCTGGTGCTGCTGGGGGTTCCGGAGCTACTGGAGGTGCTGCTGGAGGTTCTGGTGCTGCTGGAGGTGCTGCTGGAGCGGGTACTCCTGCTGGGGGTACTGGTGCTGTCCCTGCTGTTTCTGGCGTCGCCACGCGGCCCCGACCATACTTCGTTCCGCTCCTACAGCAGGTTCTTGGTCTTACACCTTCTCCTGGTCCTCCTCCTACTCCCTTAGAGGGTCCATAGTCTGTCCCGTCACAGTCACAGCTACAGCCTGCCTCCCCTTTGCCTGCTCCTTCTCCCTACGTTGGTCCGACTGGAGGTCTTACTGAGCGTCGTGAGCCTGCGTCTCGTCCTGCGTCGCCTGTTCGTCCTGCGCGCACTAGTGGTCGCGGTTCGCGTCAGCGTCCTCCTCCTGTCCCTGGCACGCACCAGATGTCACTGCGTCCGTCCACTGCTCCTCTGGGTGCCCCTTTGCCTTCTCCTCCTGCTTCCTCTCTTCCTGCTCTTGCCGACCCGGAGTCGGACTCTCTTCGTGCTGCCAGTCCTGCTATCACGCGTCTCCTTGCTACTGCTGTCACTGACCCTTCTTTCGAGTCTTCTGCTGCGTCTGCCCTTGTCACTGAGCTCGTCGACTTTGCTGCGCACTGTGGTCTAGACTACGCTGCTAGTCTTGTCGCTGAGTCTGAGTCTGCCTGTCCTCCGTCCGTCGGGGGTGAGTGTGCCCTTGGCACGGACGTCCTTGAGGACAGGCAGGAGGAGTTCCAGTGTCTGGCCGCCGCTTCACCTCATCTCGCGTCTGTACTGCTAGCCCCTAAGGGAGACCCGGATGCACTTGACATCCCGACTCCGCGCTCGTACGCGGAGGCGATAGAGGGTCCCTACTCCTCTCAGTCGCAGGCAGCTATGGATGCAGAGATGGCTTCCTGGAAGTCCACAGGCACCTACGTTGACGCTGTTCCCCCTCCTGGGGCGAACATCGTCAGTGGCATGTGGATCTTCAGGGTGAAGCGGCCGCCGGGTTCTCCGCCTTTCTTCAAGGCGCGTTACGTGGCTCATGGTTTCAGTCAGCGGCAGGGAGTTGACTTCTTTCAGACCTTCTCCCCGACCCCGAAGATGACCACTCTTCGGGTACTACTGCACGTCGCTGCTCACCGTGACTACGAGCTGCACTCTCTCGACTTCAGCACTGCTTTCTTGCAGGGCAGCCTGCACGAGGAGATCTGGCTGCGTCGCCCTCCTGGCTTCACTGGGTCTTTCCCTCCTGGTACCCAGTGGAGTCTCCGGCGTCCAGTCTACGGTCTCCGCCAGGCGCCACGTGAGTGGCACGACACACTGAGGACTACGCTGGCGGCACTTGGGTTTGCTCCTTCTACTGCCGACCCGTCGCTGTTTCTGCGCACCGACACCTCTCTGCCGCCGTTCTACATCCTCGTGTACGTCGACGACTTGGTCTTTGCCACAGCTGACACTGCTGGACTCGCCTATGTGAAGTCCGAGCTGCAGAAGAGACACACGTGCACTGATCTGGGTGAGCTGCGCAGCTACCTTGGCTTGCAGATCACCCGGGACAGAGCACGCCGCACCATCACCCTGACTCAGTCACACATGGTGCAGCAGGTCCTTCAGCGCTTCGGCTTCACGTACTCCTCGCCTCAGGCCACTCCTCTGCCTACTCGCCACTCGCTCTCAGCTCTGCCTTCGGATGAGTCCGTAGAGTCGAGTGGCCCGTATCCAGAGCTTGTCGGCTGCCTCATGTACCTGATGACCTGCACACGACCTGACCTTGCATACCCTCTTAGCATTCTTGCACGCTATGTTGCTCCTGGGAGACACCGACCAGAGCACATGGCTGCAGCGAAGAGGGTGTTGCGCTACTTGTGCAGTACGTCGGGCATGGGGCTAGTGCTTGGAGGGCGCAGTCCAGTGGTCCTCACTGGGCACACGGACGCTTCTTGGGCTGACGACCAGGCTACGCAGCGGTCGTCACAGGGTTACACCTTCAGTCTTGGTTCCGGCTCTGTTTCGTGGCGGGCCACCCGCTCGTCTTCTGTTCTCGGCTCCAGTTGTGAGGCTGAGATCTACGCCGGGGCTATGGCTGCACAGGAGCTTCGCTGGCTCACCTACCTGCTTACCGACCTGGGAGAGCCGCCTCGTTCTCCTCCAGTCCTGTACGTAGACAACAAGGCCATGCTGGCCTTGTGTCGAGAGCAGCGTCTGGAGCACAGGACAAAGCACATTGCTCTCCGCTACTTTCTTGCGCGTGAGCTGCAGCAGCGTGGACAGTTGCGGCTTGCGTACGTGGCCTCTGAGGCCAACACCGCTGATGTCTTCACCAAGGCACTTGCGCCTTGTGATCATCAGCGCTTCTGCACTCAGTTGGGACTTGTACCTGTCTTACCTCACTTGCTTACTTCTTGACCTTGCCTGTACTGTCACATATATATACTCTTGCTCTTGCTTGTCTAGCCTCTTGTATACCTATATATGTGCTCTTGCATGTGAACTGGCCTTCTGGCCTTTAAACTTGTGCTCGGAATGTGTGGTGACTTTGTGATCCACCCTGAGCTTTGCTTTGCTTTGCTTGACTGGTCTTGTGACCCCTTGTTCTCCCCCACTTTGCCTATGGGGGTGTGTCAGAACATTATAGCTTACTTATTTGTGTAGGCTATAGTGGGGTATCCCATAGGGGGTACAACCCAATTAGGGTTTCCTATTTGTACTCACTTCGTCATAGTCATTTCATTCTCGTTCTTTCTTTTCACACAAGCCTCCAATGCCGAGAAGCTAGCATGGTAAAAAAGAGATTCAAGGCGTGTTACCCTATTCTAGTTTTAGATTCAAAAGATGACATGAAGTTAGACCTGGATTGATATTATTTATGAAAGTCCAAATGACTGTTACATATCGTTATGAAGGCATCAGCCACCCTATCGTGCCTTTCAAGCAGAGCCAAAGGAGCAAGCACGAGCCGAAGGACCTTGATGCAAAACGAGACTTATAGTTGCTTACCGCGTAGCCACTATCGTAGGCTAGGGCTTCCGTCCTAACAAATGCAGTCGCGGATGCAATATAGCTACGACGCACGACAGCAACGCTAGGCTGCATCCTCGTGGTATCTGTTGAAGCACCGCATCACCCCACCGCGTGCGTCGAGCACCACCATTGCTGGCTACAATGCCACACCCCTGCCCACACCACCCAAAGCATTGCAAGGCGTTCTGAAAGCTTCTCGCGCTGCCCCCGACCGCCAACCATGCGGGGCGTCCTCGCATCAGGGCGCGCCATATGCACGGCTCGTCTGCTCGCCGCTGCACTGTTCGCGTGCGCGCTGGGCCTCGCGTCCGACGCGCTTACCGCCGCCGTGCACCCACCGCTTCTCGCGGGGTCACCCTCGCGCCACCACGTGGAGGCGGCGCCGGTTCGCGTGCGAGCGGCTGCGAGTCTGATCGCGGCGGCTGTGAGCGGGGGGACGGGAGAGCGGCATGCCGCTGCGCTGGCAGGCGCGGCGTTGAGTGGCGCCCTCGCGCGCGTCTATCGCCGCCGCCACGCCCCTTCTCTGAGCGCCGACCCCGCCTGCCCTCCCGACCCCTCCCACCGTTTCATCACTCACACGCATCCCTCCTTGCCCATCCCCACCAGCGATACCCCTCCGCTGCAGCCACAATGCGCGGAAGAAGGGCCGAGATGCGCGGATACTAGGGCTCCGCTCTTCCCCATACTCGAAGGTAACGTACCCCTTTCCCGCCATAAACCTCTCCCCATTCCATGGGGCCATCACATCTTCACCCACCCCTTCCCTTCATACCACCACTCTTACCAATCTCACCGCAATAGCCAATCCTGCTGCTATCCGCCATTCCTGCCTCCCCTCCTCCACGCTACTCTTGCTTCACTTCAAATCACCTCTTTCGCCTCCCCGCCCATGCACCCCGCCCGTCCCCCGCGCGCGCAGGTCTGCTGGACGCCGCCGTGCTGCACCTCATCGTCGCTGCCGCCACTCCTCTCCTCCCATCGCCCGCCACCCTCACCAACCACCCTGCCGGCCCTTTGCCTTTCGTGGCTGCGGCGCTCGCTCCACGGGCCCTCGCGCTGGGCCGCCTGCTGCTGCTGCTCGCCGCCACAGCCGCCGCCACCTCCTCGTCCTCCTCGCTCCTCCCCCTCCTCCTCCTCGCGCGCCCTCCAGCGGACCCCCCCGCCTTCTGGGCGCGCGCCCTGCGCCTGCTGCTGGCGGACCTCGTGGCGCTGCTGCTCGGCGCGCTGCTGCTGCCCCTGGCTTTCGCGCCTGCTGCGCCACTCGCGCACATGCAAGGGGCGGGGGAGGCGGGTCAGGCGAGGGGGGAGGAGGGCACACTGGGGGAGGCGGGCACACTGGGGGAGGCGGGCACACTGGGGGAGGAGGGCACACTGGGGGAGGCGCAGGCTGGAAGGGAGGGGGGACAGAAGGGGTGCGGGGAGGAGAGCAAGGGCATGGCGCAGGGAGGTAGTGGGGAAGGCAGAGGGGAGAGCATCGGGGAAAGGGGATGGGCGGAGGGGCTGTACGATAAAGGGGGGGCGGCGCATGGCAGGTGTGGGGGAGGCATGCAGGCGAGCAGTGGGGGCGGAGGGGCATGGGGCGTGGCGGTGGTGTGCGGGGTGGTGGCGGGCAGCTGTGGCGCTCTCCTCTCAGGCGCTCTCTCCGCCTCCCATGCCGCCCCGCTCACCGCCCTGCTCGCCCCCACTCTCCTGTGCTGCGCCGCCCACTCGCCACGGTAACCGCGTGGCCGTGCACGAATGCTTGTTGCTTCGCCCTGTCATGCCACTCCTCATCTCCTTGCTTCTCATGCGCCCACCTAACCCTTCTCTTCATGCGCCCACCTAACCCTTGTCGTCATGCGCCCCCAATGAATGTGTTGGTTGGTGCGCTTCTCCCTCCCTCCACCAGCCACCTTGCAGCCGCCACACTCGCACTCTCAGCATCAACCCTCTCAGCCGCGTCAGCAGGGCTGGGCCCCTTTCACCGCGCTGTACCGGTTGAAGCTACGCTTCAGGTGATTGGCAGGAGGGTGCTATGGATGGGGGTGGAGATTGGGGAGAGGGTGGGAGTGTGTGTGAGGTGCTCACGTGGGTGGGTGGATGCCACACTGCAGCCACCCACAGGCCTTGGAACGCGTTTCACTGCTCACATTGCGTCCTCCACTACCCTTCACATGCACATGCACCATCCCCACCCCAATTCTCCCTCGCCCCTCGCAGCTGCAGCTCTTCCTGCTCGCCCTGCTGCTACTGGCCCACCTACTCCTGCCGCTCTCAACCGCCCCCCGCCCGCCCTGCATCACCTGCTGCCACACCAACGCGTGAGTTGTTGCCCCTGCCTGCACGGTACCGACCAATCCAACCACACATCACTCCGTGTGCGCACCAGTCGATACCTTGCTACCAATTCGCCTCGCTGATCCCAATTCCCCCATCCCTGCGATCTGTCGCATCATGCCTGTTGTGCCCGCTGCCATCCCTTCTCCTCCCACACGCACTTGATGCCCCTCGCCGGCCGGCCCTCAGAGCGGAGCGGGCAGAGCGGGCACGGCGTGTGGCAGCGCTGGAGAGCCACGTGGCAGCGCTGCAGGGCCAGGTGGCAGAGCTAGAGGGCGAGGTGCAGCAGGAGCGAGAGGTGGCGCGGGCGGCAGGGGAGGCGGTGCGTGCAGCGGAGGAGGCGAAGGTGCAGTTCATGGCGAACATGAGCCATGAGATCCGCACGCCCATCCACGGCATCCTCGGCATGACCGACCTCGCCCTCGACAACCCCCTGCCCCCTGACGCCCGGGAACACCTTGAAACCGTGCTGCAGTCCGCCAACCACCTGGTAACCACCTGTTAACCCCCTCAAAGCTTGTGTTTCGGCCACCTCACATATTATTCTCCAATCATCACGTGCATCTCCTCTGATGCGTCGCTATATCTTTCCTGCCACCCGCCCCTGCCCCCTGTCCCCTTGGTGCGTGCGTGCATGGGTGGGTACGGGGGCGAGCAGCTGCTGGTGGTGAACGACATTCTGGACATCACCAAGCTCGAGGCGGGCCGCCTGCAACTCGACTGCGCCCTCTTTGACCTGCGCGCTCTCCTCAACGGCATCATGACAATGCTTGCCGCCCGCGCCGCCCTCAAGGGCCTGGCCTTCCAGTGGGAGGTGGATGCGGCTGTGCCGCCCGTGCTGCTGGGCGATGCCGTGCGCCTCCGACAGTGCCTGGTAGGGTTTAGGCTGTGATGCTCTGAGGTGCCTCCGACAGTGCCTGGTACGCACGGCTGTGATGCTCTGAGGTGCCTCCGACAGTGCCTGGTACGCACGGCTGTGATGCTCTGAGGTGCCTCCGACAGTGCCTCGTACGCACGGCTGTGATGCTCTGAGGTGCCTCCGACAGTGCCTGGTACGCACGGCTGTGATGCTCTGAGGTGCCTCCGACAGTGCCTGGTACGCACGGCTGTGATGCTCTGAGGTGCCTCCGACAGTGCCTGGTACGCACGGCTGTGATGCTCTGAGGTGCCTCCGACAGTGCCTGGTACGCACGGCTGTGATGCTCTGAGGTGCCTCCGACAGTGCCTGGTGCGCACGGCTGTGATGCTCTGAGGTGCCTCCGACAGTGCCTGGTGCGCACGGCTGTGATGCTCTGGTGCCCCCGACAGTGCACGTTGCTGGCAGGTCGTTGTTGTTGATTGCTGATGGTATGTTGGGGGAATCTCATGTCATGGTGTCGCATGATGAGTACATGGGGTGCTGCAATGAAACCATGTGTGTTCCTTCATGCCTCACTGTTCCCTCTGCCACCCCTGCCTGTGCTGTGCTGTGCTGTGCTGCACTGTGTGGGAGGGCAGGTGAATGTAGTGGGCAACGCCATCAAGTTCACGGACCAGGGCAAGGTGCACATCACAGTGCATCCCTTCTCCCCCTCCCTCCTCTCACCAGCCCTCTCCCTCATACCGCTTCCCTCCTCCCACTCCTCTCCCTCCTCCACCACCATTTTACCTCCTCAAGACCTCACGCCCTCTCACCTGTCTCCCTGCAATTCCTCCTCCACCTCCGCCTCCTCCTCCTCCTCCTCCTCCTCCTCCTCCTCCTCCTCCTCCTCCTCCTCCTCCTCCTCCTCCTCCTCCTCCTCCTCCTCCTCCTCCTCCTCCTCCTCCTCCTCCTCCTCCTCCTCCTCCTCCACCACCACCACCACCACCACCACCACCACACTCAATTCCTCAGCTGCGTCCGCCTGTGCTACCGGCCCACCCCCCTCGCCCTCTGCCCCTGCTGCCCCTCATGGCCCTTCTCCTGCGCGCAGCGACGCGGATAAGGGGGGCGATGAGGGTAATGGGGGCAAAGGGGGCGATGGGGGCAGTGGGAGGGGGTCAGAGGGAGCAGCAGCGCAGGGGGGGGAGGGATTGGCGCTGCTCTTCACCATCACTGACACGGGCGTTGGTGAGTTGACACGGGCGTTGGTGAGATGACACGGGCGTTGGTGAGTTGACACGGGCGTTGGTGAGTTGACACGGGCGTTGGTGAGTTGACACGGGCGTTGGTGAGTTGACACGGGCGCTGGTGAGTTGACACGGGCGTTGGTGAGTTGACACGGGCGTTGGTGAGTTGACACGGGCGTTGGTGAGTTGACACGGGCGCTGGTGAGTTGACACGGGCGTTGGTGAGTTGACACGGGCGTTGGTGAGTTGACACATGCTGTGTGTTTGCCACTCCATAACGATTGTCTCTGCAGGCAGGCATTGCTGCGTCACCCAGTCTTTTCCCACCTCTGTCCTCCTCTGCCATGCACCCGCGCCCTCTGTCCTCCTCTGCCATGCACCCGCGCCCTCTGTCCTCCTCTGCCATGCACCCGCGCCCTCTGCCCCATGTGCTGTGCCCTCTCCGACGCCCTGCCTCCTGGGTGGGCGTTAGGCATAGCGGCGGGCGAGCAGAGGCGCATCTTCGGTGCGTTTGAGCAGGTGGACGCGTCCATGTCGCGCCACCACGGCGGCACGGGGCTCGGCCTCTCCATCACCTCCCGGTATGCCCCCCCTCTCCATCACCTCCCGGTATGCCCCCCCTCTCCATCACCTCCCGGTATGCCCCCCCTCTCCATCACCTCCCGGTATGCCCCCCCTCTCCATCACCTCCCGGTATGCCCCCCCTCTCCATCACCTCCCGGTATGCCCCCCCTCTCCATCACCTCCCGGTATGCCCCCCCTCTCCATCACCTCCCGGTATGCCCCCCTTCTCCATCACCTCCCGGTATGCCCCCCCTCTCCATCACCTCCCGGTATACCCCCCCTCTCCATCACCTCCCGGTATGCCCACCCTCTCCATCACCTCCCGGTATGCCCCCCCTCTCCATCACCTCCCGGTATGCCCCCCCTCTCCATCACCTCCCGGTATGCCCCCCCTCTCCATCACCTCCCGGTATGCCCCCCCTCTCCATCACCTCCCGGTATGCCCCCCCTCTCCATCACCTCCCGGTATGCCCCCCCTCTCCATCACCTCCCGGTATGCCCCCCCTCTCCATCACCTCCCGGTATGCCCCCCCTCTCCATCACCTCCTGGTATGCCCCCCCTCTCCATCACCTCCCGGTATGCCCCCCTTCTCCATCACCTCCCGGTATGCCCCCCCTCTCCATCACCTCCCGGTATGCCCCCCCTCTCCATCACCTCCCGGTATGCCCCCCCTCTCCATCACCTCCCGGTATGCCCCCCCTCTCCATCACCTCCCGGCATGCCCCCCCTCTCCATCACCTCCTGGTATGCCCCCCCTCTCCATCACCTCCCGGTATGCCCCCCCTCTCCATCACCTCCCGGTATGCCCCCCCTCTCCATCACCTCCCGGTATGCCCCCCCTCTCCATCACCTCCCGGTATGCCCCCCCTCTCCATCACCTCCCGGTATGCCCCCCCTCTCCATCACCTCCCGGTATGCCCCCCCTCTCCATCACCTCCCGGTATGCCCCCCCTCTCCATCACCTCCCGGTATGCCCCCCTTCTCCATCACCTCCCGGTATGCCCCCCCTCTCCATCACCTCCCGGTATACCCCCCCTCTCCATCACCTCCCGGTATGCCCCCCCTCTCCATCACCTCCTGGTATGCCCCCCCTCTCCATCACCTCCCGGTATGCCCCCCTTCTCCATCACCTCCCGGTATGCCCCCCCTCTCCATCACCTCCCGGTATGCCCCCCCTCTCCATCACCTCCCGGTATGCCCCCCCTCTCCATCACCTCCCGGTATGCCCCCCCTCTCCATCACCTCCCGGTATGCCCCCCCTCTCCATCACCTCCCGGTATGCCCCCCCTCCCCACCACGGCGGCACGGGGCTCGGCCTCTCCATCACCTCCCGGTATGCCCCCCCTCTCCATCACCTCCTGGTATGCCCCCCCTCTCCATCACCTCCCGGTATGCCCCCCCTCTCCATCACCTCCCGGTATGCCCCCCCTCTCCATCACCTCCCGGTATGCCCCCCCTCTCCATCACCTCCCGGTATGCCCCCCCTCTCCATCACCTCCCGGTATGCCCCCCCTCTCCATCACCTCCCGGTATGCCCCCCCTCTCCATCACCTCCCGGTATGCCCCCCCTCTCCATCACCTCCCGGTATGCCCCCCTTCTCCATCACCTCCCGGTATGCCCCCCCTCTCCATCACCTCCCGGTATACCCCCCCTCTCCATCACCTCCCGGTATGCCCCCCCTCTCCATCACCTCCTGGTATGCCCCCCCTCTCCATCACCTCCCGGTATGCCCCCCTTCTCCATCACCTCCCGGTATGCCCCCCCTCTCCATCACCTCCCGGTATGCCCCCCCTCTCCATCACCTCCCGGTATGCCCCCCCTCTCCATCACCTCCCGGTATGCCCCCCCTCTCCATCACCTCCCGGTATGCCCCCCCTCTCCATCACCTCCCGGTATGCCCCCCCTCTCCATCACCTCCTGGTATGCCCCCCCTCTCCATCACCTCCCGGTATGCCCCCCTTCTCCATCACCTCCCGGTATGCCCCCCCTCTCCATCACCTCCCGGTATGCCCCCCCTCTCCATCACCTCCCGGGATGCCCCCCCTCTCCATCACCTCCCGGTATGCCCCCCCTCTCCATCACCTCCCGGTATGCCCCCCCTCTCCATCACCTCCTGGTATGCCCCCCCTCTCCATCACCTCCTGGTATGCCCCCCCTCTCCATCACCTCCCGGTATGCCCCCCCTCTCCATCACCTCCCGGTATGCCCCCCCTCTCCATCACCTCCCGGTATGCCCCCCCTCTCCATCACCTCCCGGTATGCCCCCCCTCTCCATCACCTCCCGGTATGCCCCCCCTCTCCATCACCTCCCGGTATGCCCCCCCTCTCCATCACCTCCTGGTATGCCCCCCCTCTCCATCACCTCCCGGTATGCCCCCCCTCTCCATCACCTCCCGGTATGCCCCCCCTCTCCATCACCTCCCGGTATGCCGGCCCCCGCACACCCTTCCCCTTCCCCCTCTCCTCTCCCTTCTCCGGAAGCCCTTCTATTGTCGCTGCGAGCGTGTGTTGTACTTTGTCTGGAAAGGCATGCTACACGCCCAGCCAGGTTGAGGCACAGGCAGGTACAGGCAGGCAGAGGCAGGCAAAGCCGCAATGTTGATTTCTGAACTTTGTGTGTCTCCCACCTGCAGGCTCGTTCACATGATGGGCGGCAGCATTTGGCTGCACTCGTCTCCTGGCGCCGGCAGCACCTTTGCCTTCTCTGCCACCTTTGCTGCGCCGCCCGTCTCCCCCTCCACCCCCCATGCTGCCCTCCCCCCGGCCCCACGGCGCACGGTGAGTGCGGAGGAGCTGGACGGCCGCCTGGCGCTGGACGCCCTCTCGCTCTCGCTGCTGCCCTCCCTCGTCCTCCACCGCTCCTCCTCCCGCGCCCTGCCGCCCCCCCTCTCGCCCTCCGCCGCCTCCTCTGCTGCCAGCGCTGCCGCACCCCTATGTGCGCGCTCGCCTGCTGCCGCCCGCATGGGGTTCAGCTTCCCGGGGCAGGCAGACGCCGCTTTGGACGCTGCAGCAGGCGGGGCAGGGCAGCACGGCGCATGGGAGAGGGTTGCAGCGGCAGGGCGAGGTGGAGGAGGCGAGGGCGGACGCATGGATGCCAGAGCGGACGCAGCAGGGGGTGCAGGTGGTGGGGGTGCGGTGCAGGGCAGGGCAGGGCGCAGCCGGCGCAGAACACAGAGTTTCACATGTGGGGATGCGAGCACAGGGCGCATGCTGGAGGAGGTGCTGCGGCAGGCGAGCAGGGAGCAGCAGGCAGGCCAGCTACCCTCCAGCAGACTCGGTGCTGCTGGCCCCCACGCCCATGCCACCGCTGCCCTTGCAGCCGCCTCTGCACTGGTTGGTGCGAGGGGCAGCAATGGTGGTGGTGAGGAGCGTCGCTGTGACGAGGCTCATGTTGGCACAGGCTCCCGTGTTGACAGTGCGCAACAGAGCAGCGGCACGGTTACAGCCGTAACAGCAGCAGTGGCAGCTGCGGCAGCGGCAGTGGCAACAGCGGCAGCTGTTGCAGAAAAGGGTGCAGAGGAAGTCTCCTCAGGTTCAGATGGGTGGATGTTTCCATTCGGTCTTCGTGCTTCTCATGACCCTCATCCACTCCCCCTGCAGCAGCCACAGCAGCAGCAGCAGCAGCAGCAGCAGCGGCAGCAGGTTGAGGAGAAGAAGCAGCAAGAGCAGGAGCAGCAGGGGCGAGTAGCAGTGGGGCAGCTGGAGAGGAGCAGCAGCGAGGGCTTTGCCATGCGACGGCGGCATCTGCTGGTGGTGCGCGGGCGCACGCGGTCCCTGGAGTGCATGGGGGCGCGACAGGCCCAGGAGTGGGCCGGTGCACGCTCAGAGCACACTGGGGACGCGCAGGGCGGGCGGAGAGAGGGCGATGCGAGGGGCACAAGCGGCACCACAGGCAGCAGAGCAGCAGTGGCGGGCAGAGAGGGTGGTGGTGGGGATGGTGGCGAGGAGAGCCGGCAGGGGAGCAGCAGCCCTGGGGTGGAGGTGCCTCGCCTGCCATCGTGGAGCCCACTCAGTGGCAGTGGGGCGCGCATGGCAGGCAGTCCGCGCACAGAGGGGGGCATGGGAGGCACGGGAGTCATGGGGGGCACGGGAGGCATGGGGGGCATGGGAGGCAGAGCAGCAAGCAACGAGCCCAGAAGCCCCCATGCACAAGCAGGTGCGGCTCGTGCTGGTGGTGGTGGTGGTGGTGGCACGGACAGTGGTGGCGTGGAGGCGAGTGTGGCGAAGCTGAGCCGCGTGGTGGAGAGGGAGGACGAGGGGTTGAGTGAGGATGATGCCCCCGCTGCCCGCACAGCGCAGCAGAGCAGGAGAGAGGCGCGTGTGCTGCGAGGCAGCGCTGGGCGGCTATCGGTGGAGGGCAGCGTGGCGGAGCTGCAAGGGGCGCGTGCAGGCGGTGAGAGGGAGCAGGGCGGCGCTGGTGTGCTGAGGGAGCAGGGCGCAGGGCAGGGTGTGGGGAGGGCGAGAGGAGAAGAGGAGCGGTTGAAAGGACTGAGTGCATGTGAGGAGGACGAGAGAGAGGAGTTGGGACAGAGAGGCCGGAGCGGGTGGCAGGGCCCTCCCTTGTCAGCGAGTGCGAGTGGGTGGTCGACGGAGGCAGCAGCTGAGATGCGCCCCAGCGTGAGCTTCAAGGAGAATCTCTCTGCACGCCACCGTGAGGAGCGGGATCCCTTGCAGGCTGCACTGGGCAATGCCAGCCCTGCCCCCTGTCAGGCACTCAGTCGTGGCGGTTCCAGCAGTGGTAGTGGGGATGCAGCCACAGCTACAGCAGAGGCGGCATCAGGCAGCAGGGCGGGTGCATGCGGGTTGTTGGGACGGCAGAGGCAGCTACGAGTGCAGCACCTCACCTTCCAGCTGCCTGACGACACCTCCCCTGCGCACTCGCCCTCCACCCCCACCTTTGACTCGCGCCGCCCGTCCCTCAAGCTGCCTGCTCATGCACCTGCGCCCGCTGCCCCCTCCGCCATCTCACCGCGCCCGCCTGTGTCCCCGCGGCGGCCTTACGGGGACGCGGCTGAGCCGAGCACCATGGAGGCCATCTACGCGCGCATCCAGGCCCAAGCTGCCGCCTCGCGCCCCCTCGCCCCCACGCGCTCGCCCTCCACCGCCGCCGCTGCAGGCGACGGCGCGTGCAGCTTGGCGCGCGGGAGGGAGCCGCCCGCCCTGGACGTGCCGTCCACACCTTCGTCCTCCGCACGCCGCGCTGCTGGAGGGGGCCTGCTGCGCCAGAAGTCAGGCGGGATGGCGCTGCTGCAGCGGCAGGGCACAGGGGTGGGCCGGCAGGGCGGGGGGCTGGTGAGGCAGGGCACGGGGCTGGGGCGGCAGGCGAGTGTGAAGCTGAAGCAGAAGCCGGTGCGCGCGGCGAGCCCGCGGGCCATGCTGTCGGCGGTGGCGCTGAACATCCTGCTGGCGGACGACAGCGTGGTGAACCAGAAGGTGGCGGTGCGCTTCCTCAAGAAGAAGGGCATGGTGGCGGACGCCGTGGGCGACGGCGCTCAGGCCATCCAGCGCCTCTACCCCAAGGATGGCGGCATCTCCCCCTACGACCTCCTGCTGCTCGACGTGCAGGTGCGACCTCCTGCTGCTCGACGTGCAGGTGCGACCTCCTGCTGCTCGACGTGCAGGTGCGACCTCCTGCTGCTCGACGTGCAGGTGCGACCTCCTGCTGCTTGACGTGCAGGTGCGTCCTGCTGCTGCTCGACGTGCAGGTGCGACGTGAAAAAGGAGTGTTTTGAGACGTCTCAAAACACTCCTTTTTTCACGTGCTTTGAGACGTCCCAAAACACTCCTTTTTCACGCTGCTCGACGTGCAGGTGCGACTTCCTGCTGCCACACGTGCAGGTGAGCCGACAGCCGTGCGTGGTGCACGTTTGCCAGATCTATGCAGGTGAGAGATACCGTCAGCTTGGAGGGCGAAATCCCAAATCATACGGTCTGAAGGAAGTATTAGTCACCAGTGTATCCCTTTCTTACTTGTAATATTCATTCTTGTGTGTGTGTGTGGTTGGTTGAGCATGGGGCCCGGGGCGCAGATGCCAGTGATGGACGGACTTCAAACAGTGCGGGTTATTCGTGAGAAGGAGACGGCAGAGAAGCTTCCCCACCTTCCAGTCATTGGTACGCTGCTGCTGCATTCGTGTCCCTTTAACATGCTACTTACATGGCTGTGCCCATGTTGCTCATGTGTCACAGTACATGGCTTACATGTTCATATGTGCCAACCCAAACCCCTGGCTGTAGCCTCATGTCCCTCGGCTGTGGAGGGAGTTGGTGCATGCCTGAGTGCGATCTCGCCCCCCCCTGCCTGTGTGAGCAGGGCTGACAGCGCATGCGGCTGACGTGTACCGTGACCAGTGCATCTCCGCCGGCATGGACGGCTTCGTCTCCAAGGTAACCGCACGCACTCTCCGCAACTCCTCCCCACTTGCTCCCCTCCCGCGCTTCACCCTCTCTCTGTGGATGCATGGATACACAGTGATGCCTTCCTGGATTCGCACATGTAGAAGCATGCACGGACACACATTCGCACCCCATGAAACTGCACACACCCAGGTAAGCAAGCACACAGTTTAACAGTCCTGAGCACAGCATTGAGTTATTGATCCATTTACTGATCCAGCTACTGATCCAGTTACTAATCCATTTTCCAAATTTCCTCCCTTTCCCACCAGCCATTCACTGTGAATCAGCTCTTGAGCATGATGCAGTCTGTGCTTGAAAAGTATTCGCATAAACGATTGCCACATGAAGCTATGGCATCGTAACAGGCGGCACCCTTATAGGCTATTTATAGTTGAAAATTTCCTTGCAAGAGTACCCTTGTCCAATCATGGTTTAGATTTTCTATTGCAAGAGTAACACTGCCCAACTACCGTATCACCCCGGATGGTAGCGTATAAGCGCTTATAATAATATCTGTTTTTTTTAAGGGGGGCGCTTCTAATTGAGTATGGGGCATAAGCGCATGTGCTTATAAAATCACAAATATAGTTCGTATTGTTTTAGCACCTGCATCTTATTCTTGCGATTCCAATCGAGTTGAAGTTTCATAGCGTCAGGAATCAAAATCGCACGCACGAGATTCCCTGCCAAACCTCAGGGGCAAAGACACGTCAGTTTGCCCCAATGACATCTCAATAAAAACACAACTCCTTAAGCGAATGAAGCCTTGGCCTTTGCAGCCATCGCTAGCATGCCGATCAGGGCTGACGTTTCATTTTGGGCCTCCCTGATTTCGGGAAAAAACTCCCCCCTGTATTATGAGGGCACATTTTTCAGAGGTTTGCTACTCTGATTGGTCAGTGTCCAACAACATCTCACTCTGATTCGTCAGGGTTCAGAGCAAGAAATCAGTGTAGCAGTCAATCACACAAATTTCTCCCACGCGGATTATACATTTCCCACGCCTCACTTCCTAGTCGGTCAAAGTCAACAGAAAACGATATCGCGTGGTGTCTGCGACCCTCAGCACACGCGAAAGTACAGTGCACGTTCACCATCAACCACAGTTTGCAGTCGGTGAGCGAAACACCTCGAAACAACCCCCAAAAAAATTGGCGCCAAGAAAGGCGACAAAACAGCACATCGCACGAACTGGCGATGGTGTAACCCCCTTCCTTAGGAGAATTCCGCACGCATTGCAATCTGCAAACATTCACTCCAGCCACCGCCATGAATGTCGTTCGATTGCTTTCGCGTGGGCGAATCTAAAGGCACATGAGATTCGCCCTGTCAGAGCAAATTCGCACAATAAATTTGCTCTGTCAAGGACAAGAGATTCCCTCTGACACAACAGATCTGCTGTGTCAGAGGTGTTCTGCCGAAAATCCCCGCAACACGCTGCGCCTCGCACGACACCACAAACATCCACCCCACCCCACCTTCCCCCCAAACATCCACCCCACCTTCCCACATGGGTGTTACTTGTCGGTATTACTGTACAGAAAGGGCTACCTCACATGGGTACAAGCGAAATCATGATTACGCACATGGGGGGTCATTGAGAGGAAATTTCTGGGAATCTTTGTTTCGATACCCTCGCATTCAGGGTCCACAGAACGCGTACTCTACATTGACAGAGTCAGTAAGAACACTACTCTGAGCCAAGATAAAATATTTCATGGTTCGCTAAAGCACTATTCTGAATGGATCATTGTTCACAAGTCAGAAATTCTGAAATTGCAGGGACCACCAGGTGAGAAGCATGTAATCACCCTGAAATCAGGGTAATTACGCTGATGAAATCAGCCCTGATGCCGATGCGCTCAAGATTCTCATGCAGATGCCAGCTTGGGATAGCTTTGGCGAGCATGTTGACATCTTGGAAGTGGGAGCGTACTGAGTGCACCTCGACTAGGCTTGGGCATTGACCCGTCCCGACCCGACCCGACCCGTTTGGGGGTACCCGAGGGTGCAGTCAGGTCGGGTCGGGTATACCCGACCTCGGGTTTGATGGGTCAGATTGGGTACCCGACCCATTTAGAAACCCTCGGGTAGTAACTACCCGCGGTCGGGTAGGGTTTACCCGTGGACGGGTCGGGTATACCCGTTATGCATGTAAATCCAATATACATTATGGCGAATTTTGTTGCTGTTTTTGGGCCTATAATAATATTAGCTTGCAGTTTTCTGTGAAATGGATGAAGAGTTACATCTTTCATTGCAAACTCGTGCGCTACCACGAATGCATTAACACAATGTTCGTTGTACTAGAGTTGCAGTATCCTATCGCTGTCACATGCTAGCATAAATTATTGTATGTCGTGACAATAAATATGTTCAAGTTCAACCACCTACAACGTGTGGTCTATGGCATCCTCTACGGTCAGAATAGCCACACCCACACCCCAGGGTACACAGCAATATCGTGCCCACAGTCACAACCAGCCACAAGTCAGAACCCATCACCCTCACCCTCATAACAAAGGTCATCGAGCACCCGAGCGGCACCTGCAATGTTGAGGCTCCTGCCGCTAGTGTTCTGCTCCATCCATGACTTAATTGCCATGACGGCGCGTACGCGGCCAGCAGTAAGGCGGTGGCGCTGCCATGTAATAATGTTCCTCCCCTGACTAAAGGCTCGCTCGCTAGCAGCAGAAGTAGCGGGCACAGCCAAATAGTCACGCGCCATCTCTCTCAAAACTGTGACATCCTCCCTCGCCCGCCAGAAAGCCAGCGGACAACCACCTCTCTGCCTCGGCTCGGCCAAATAGCGGTCCACCTCATCCTGTGCCCCCCCTCCAGCAGCTGCCTCCAGGGCATCCATCTCGTCAAAGATGGAGTGCTCAAAGCCCCCTCCCCCACCTCCACCAGCCCCCGTCGTGCCCGAGGCCCCACCAGTCACGCTGCTAGGCCCAATGGCCCCCCCGGTATCACTCGTGACCTCACCACCCTGCCGGCGGGTGTTCACCCGCGCCTGATACTCGGCCATACGCGCACGCACCAGCCGTATCACCGTCCCTTCATCCACATCCTGCACCCTCCTAGCACAACCCCCCACCTCTGTCACGTGCGCAGCATTGCGCGCCTCCCATTTCGGCAGCTGGAAGAAGACTGTCTTGTAGCGGGGGTCCAGGAAGGTGGCAACCATCAGCTCTTCCTTCTCCCCGTACTTGTACTTCTTCAGCTTGTCAAAAGCTGCAGTGATGAGAGCCTGTCGGAGGGGAGTGACACCCTCTTTGCGGAAGGAGATTTCTAGCTTGTCTAGCACCTGGTTGTACAGCGGCACGACCTAGGCAGCCGTGGGGTACAAGGAACCCTCGGCTGCCTTCGTGATGGAGTTGAACGGCTCAAGGAACTCCTTGAGCTCTACGAGAGCGTCCCAGTGCACGTCGGACAGCCGAAGGCCATCCAGCTGTTCGCGTACCTGGCGGGGGGGGGGGGGGCTGGTGGACGGGCAAACAAAACAAAATAAAATTAGTGCTAAACCGTCATTCTAGTCAAACAATCATAGTCGAAAACGTTATCCAGCCTTTCAACACACAAACAACACCCTTCACTATTGTCACAACACACTCTCCACCAAACCAGCCCCCCACCATGCCCTTTCACCACGATCACGACATCAAAACACCAGACCAGCCCATTGCTGCAGTCACTCCACGCCCAGTACCACCACCACTCACGCCTGTCCTCATGAGGAGCAAGGCCAGTGCCTGCTGCAGCTCCAACGCACGGACGATCATGTCATACGTGGACCCCAATCGTGTCGGCGAGTCACCAATCAGACGAAGCACGGGTGCATCATCCCACCGCAGCAGGATGCGCTGCTGCCGTGCGAAGTTCTCCGAGCACTGGACTGACCACCCGACGTACGAACACACAGCTCGCAGACGCTTCAGTGCCTCTGTCACCACATCTTTCTTCAATGCCGCCTTCACTGCAATGTTCATGACATGTGCAATGCAGCTGTGCAAACATGGCAGACAAGCATAGGGTAGAGGGAAGGTCGAAAATGACACGGTTGTAGTCGAAGGGAGTCATATGGTACTGCGGCACATGCTGCCCGGCTCTGATACACTCAGAGTTAGGTGTCGAATGACTTACCGCACGTGACGATCTCCGTGGAACAAGGGGAACTCAATCCTCGCCATCGCGCCCTCAGCTGGATCCCCTGCAAGCATGCGCATGGCCTTGTTGTTGTTCTCAGCATTATCCGTCGTGACGGCGAACAGCATCTCGGTCAATCCCCATTCCGCCAGAATGCCCTCAAGAGTCTTCGCTATCAGCGACGCGGTGTGTGACCCCTCCAGCTACACGAAATCCAGGATGTGTTGCCGCAGCTGGAAGTCTTTAGTGATCCTGTGCACGGTGACAACCATGAAAGCAACATTGTTCTCACTGGTCCAGATGTCCATACTCAGCGACAACCGCCTAGCGAGATCATCACCAATCAGCTCCTGCTTCAACTCCTCCCTGGCAGCATCTGCGTATGCCTGCATGTCTCGTGCCAGCCGATACCGTGTCCCTAGCAACCGCTCGACCCTAGGGTTCAGCAGTTTGACGAATCGACGGAAATGTTGGGGGATGGAATAGACAACGACGAAGCACCACTATGAAGTGTGAATTGAGAAGACACTGGAACTCCTCCTGCCTGTCCTCAAGGACGTCCGTGCCAAGGGCACACTCACCCCCGACGGACGGAGGACAGGCAGACTCAGACTCAGCGACAAGACTGGCAGCGTAGTCTAGACGACAGCGCGCAGCAAAGTCGACAAGCTCAGTGACAAGGGCAGACGCCGCAGACGACTCGAAGGAAGGGTCAGTGACAGCAGTAGCAAGGAGACGCGTGACAGTAGGACTGGCAGCACGAAGAGAGTCCGACTCGGGGTCGGCAAGAGTAGGAAGAGAGGAAGCAGGAGGAGAAGGCAAAGGGGCACGCAGAGGAGCAGTGGACGGACGCAGTGACATCCGGTGCGTGCCAGGGACAGGAGGAGGACGCTGACGCGACCCGCGACCACTAGCGCGCTCAGTACGAACAGGCGACGCAGGACGAGACGCAGGCTCACGACGCTCAGCAAGACCTCCAGTCGGACCAGCGTAGGGAGAAGGAGCAGGCAAAGGGGAGGCAGGCTGTAGCTGTGGCTGTGACTGGACAGGCTGTGGACCCTCTAAGGGAGGAGGAGGTGTAAGACCAAGAACCTGCTGCAGGAGCGGAACGAAGTACGGTCGGGGCCGCGCGGCGACGCCAGAAACAGCACGAACAGCACCAGTACCCCCAGCAGAAGCACCCACTCCAGCAGCACCTCCAGCAGCACCTCCAGTAGCTCCAGAACCTCCAGCAGCAGCACCAGGAGCACTGACAGTCGGACCGCCAGCGGCAGTCTCAGCGCCAACACCCTCAGCAGCACCAGCTCCAGGAGAACCCTCAGACCCAGCAGCTCCAGCACCCACAGAACGAGCACCGCCGGGACGCGCGGCAGCAGTACCCTCTGCAGCCGAAGAACCTCCAGCACCAGCAGCACGCCTCCAGCGCCTGGCAAACCACTCACGCAGCTCCTGTGGGGAGAGTGGCTCCCGGCGAGACGAAGCACCTCCAGGCAGAGCACCCCCAGGCACAGCACCCCCAGGCTCAGCACCCCCAGGCTCAGCACCCCCAGGCTCAGCACCCCCAGGCTCAGCACCCCCAGGCTCAGCACCCCCAGGCTCAGCACCCCCAGACTCAGCACCCCCAGGCTCAGCACCCCCAGGCTCAGCACCCCCAGGCTCAGTACCCCCAGGCTCAGCACCCCCAGGCGCAGCACCCCCAGACTCCGCACCCCCAGGCTCAGCTCCCTCAGCAGCACCAGAGTCACCAGTGACCTCGACAGGCTCGACCGCGTCTACCTGGGACACACCTGAAGGGGCAGGACCCTGAGGGGGGAGGGGGTCTACCGGGGGGGGACCTGGTACCAAGAAGAGCGGGGGTGGGGGGAGGGACGGAGTGCGGTAGGGGAAGAGGCGGTAGTAGGGTACCGACTCGTCGAACGTGACGTCCTGGGAGGACAGAACACGTCGAGAGGTGGAGTGGTAGAACTGCCACCCAGGGGCGTCGGGGGGGAACCCCAGGAAGACGCAGGGAGCAGTGCGAGGGGACAGCTTGTCCGCAGACAAGTCGCGGACAAACGCCCGAGATCCCCAGACCCGGAACGCCGACGCATCGCCAACCTTCCCCGTCCACAGCAGGGCTGGGGAGGTCTCCGGCCTGGAGACCCGGGGTGGAGGTTGATCTGATGCGCCGCGTACCTGACCGCAAACGGCCACAGAAAATGGGGGGCAGCCGCATGCATCATGGACGTACGGGCGACGTCCATGAGCATGCCAATGCGGCGCTCAGCAATCCCATTTTGCTGCGGGGAGTCCGGAAGCGTGAAGGACTGGCGAATGCCTCGCGCGCGACAGTAGGCACGCAGAAGGCCAGAGGAGAACTCTCCGCCTCTGTCAGAGTGCAGACGCAACACAGGAAAGTCGGAGCCAAAGCTCTGCCTGAGCTGAAGACGAGCTGCGCGGATCCAGTCGATCAGCACCTCAGTAACCTCACCCTTGCTGCGCAAGGGGAAGACTGTGGTGTAACACGAGTAGTCGTCAACAACGAGCAGGAAGTAGCGCTCCTGACCCTGTCCACGGACGCGGGCTGGGCCCCACACGTCCATGTGAAGCGTCTGCAACGGGGCCTCTGTCGGAGGAAACTGGGAGGAGTGAGGGGCAGCACGCTGGCGCCCCTCGACACAGGGGACACAGGCAGGGCCAGGGCCCTGAGGAAGGGGAGGTAGAGACCGGGGGAGACCAGACACAAGAAGACGGGAGGCCATGCCTCTGAGCCGAAGCAGAGAGGGGTGGCCAAGGCGGTGGTGCCAGAGGAGGGTCTCGTGAGACAGACGACGACACGAACAGGGGGCAGACTCAGGACCAGACCTGGACGCTGCGGCAAACACCTGACCAGACGAAGGGACCCTACCAGACTCAGCACCTGGCGGAGAAGCAGTGGTCAGTGTGTACAGGCTCGACCCTGGCCGACGTGTAAACGTATCCAGGTGGCGTCCCGTGCTAGCCTCCGTGCAGTGGGTCACCTGCTGACGAGCAGGAGTGAACTGGTGGACACCCGCATCCTGTAGGTCAGCACCACTCACCAGGTTTGTCGAGAACGAGGGGAGGTAGAGACCAGACAGGGTGCCAGAGGGGGCCGCCGGGCACGGAAGGACCGTGGAGAAGCGAGACAGGACAGGCCCCCCAGAGGGGTCAGCCAGGGACACCGCTACCGGCCGACTCAGCGGCGTGAGAGTGGTGCGGTCCCGAAAGAAGGAGCGAGACGCTCCAGAGTCAAGGGTGAAGGTGTGAGAGGTAGAAGCCGACACAGTACCTGAGAGGGCAGACTCACCAGTACCTGAGAGCACAGACGCACTGGCACCTAGAGCAGCAGCCTCACTAGCACCTGACGCAGCAGTACCAATGCCCGGGTCGGGCGGGAAACACCGGTAACAGTCATCCTCATCACTACCAGTCACAGCATACATAGCAGAGAGAATAGCATCAAAGTCAAGATCATAAATAGCTACACCAGCCCTAGACAGCTCCCCCCAGCGGGGGATCTCAGCGGCCTCCGGAAACTGCTGACGCCAGGCGTCGGTCAGGCGGCCAAAGCAGCGGCGGGCTGTGTGGGTGCCTCCACACCTCTCCCCCGCACGGTCGCCGGTGCGAAGAACGTAGGGGCAGGGACCAAACGCACCACCACGCTGACGCTGCAAGTACCACTCACGGAGCTGCTGAGGGGCGGGGACGGTGCGAGAGCGCTGCTGCTGCTGTGGCTGCTGCTGCTGCTGCTGCTGCTGCTGGCGCTGACCACCCCCAGAGCCGCTCCGCTGAGACGAGCTACTCCGACCCCCGCCGCCACCGCCACCCCCGCCTCCACCGCCACCCCCGTCTCCACCGCCACCGCCCCCACCGGCACCCTCGCCCCCGCCTCCTCCGCTACCTCCTCCGCCGCCACCTCCGCCTCCACCGCCTCCACCAGTACCTCCACCCCCGCCACCACCTCCACCGCCACCCCCACTCCCCCCGCCAACCCCACCTCCCCCGCCACCGCCCCCTCTAGCTCCACCCGCTCCCTTGCCCCCCTTGCCCTTGCCAGGGCGGCGTCTACCGCTGGGGGCAGACGCCGCACCGACCGACTCAAAACCAGCGAGGTCGGCCGCAGCGGCAGAGGCGACAGAGGGCAGAAGGGGGGAAGGAGAACACCCCTCAAAGATGGGGGTGCGAGGGTCACCCCGAGAGGCCCCTACAGCGACGATGCTCTTCTCAGCCGCTAGCAGGGACTCCTCAAGGAGGTCGACAGTGAGGGTGGTGGGACAGACAGAGAGAAACTGGTCCCGAACGACACGAAGGGACTCAGGGAGGCGGGTGACGAGAAAGTAGAGAGTGATGTACATGGGAGGAGGGTTTGCGGCGCGGAACTCAGCAGGAAGGGCAGCGCGGTAGCGAGCGTCACTAGCGCGGAGGTGGGTAACGAGGTCAGCGACAGTGGGAAAGGCAGCGAGGTCAGGGAAGAGAAACGGTAGCATGAGGCAGCTCAGCGTAGCGGAGGAAGGGGAGGAGTAGCGTGCAACTACAGCGTCGTACAAGGCGTGAGCGGTCTTGCACTGACTAAAGTGGGCACGCTCGGAGGAAGGGAGGTGGCGACGCACAGCAAGACGTGCAGCAGCATCGCGGGTCGCCCACTTGGAGCGAACGGCGGAGTCAGCATCAGCAGGAGGGGCAGGGACTGCGCCAGAGACAAAGTCAAAGAGAGAGACCTCATCTATCGCATCACACAGTAAGTACAGCTGCAGGTCTTCAATCCAGACTGCAAAGTCAATGGCTCTACCCTCAGCGTCAAAAGCTAAGACATTGGGGGTGGCCATGACAGCAGCTGACAGTCTCACCGGGCAGGAAAAGTCGGGTAGGTCAGCGGCACAGTAACACAGCCCAGGAGCAGCAGTAGCCCCACAGGAGCAGGAGTGCGGCTCCTCTGGCGGCTCGGGCGGCTCGGGCGGCTCGGGCGGCTCGGGCGGCTCGGGCGGCTCGGGCGGCTTGGGCGGCTCGGGCGGCTCGGGCGGCTCGGGCGGCTCGGGCGGCTCGGGCGGCTCGCGCGGCTCGGGTGACGCAGGGGCTCACGGGCGGCGCGGGCGGCTGCACGGGCGGCTCACGGGCGGCTGGGGCGGCTCACGGGCGGCACGGTGGGCGGCTGCACGGGCGGCTGCACTGTGGCGCGGCGGGTTGCAGCACGGGCGGCAGGGCCGACGGCGGGCCGTAGCGGGGCTGTAGCGGGGCCGACGGCGGGCTGTAGCGGGGCTGTAGCGGGGCTGTAGCAGGGGCCGACGGCGGGCTGTAGCGGGGCCGACGGCGGGCCGACGGCGGGCTGTAGCGGGGCCGACGGCGGGCTGTAGCAGGGCCGACGGCGGGCTGTAGCGGGGCCGACGGCGGGCTGTAGCGGGGCCGACGGCAGGCTGTAGCGGGGCCGTAGCAGGGTCGGCGGGGCCTAGAGGGGGCCGACGGAGCCGACGGGGCCGTAGCGGGGCCGTAGTGGGGCCGTAGTGGGGCCTAAGCGGGGCCGACGGGGCCTAAGCGGGGCCGACGCGAGGCCGTAGCGGGGCCTAAGCGGGCCGACGGGGTCTAGGCGGGGCCGACGAGGGGCCGTAGCGGGGCATAAGCGGGCCGACGGGGCCTAAGCGGGGCCGACTAGGCCTAAGTGGGGCCGACGCGGGGCCGTAGCGGGGCCTAAGCGGGGCCGACGAGGCCTAAGCGGGGCCGACAGGGCCTAAGTGGGGCCGACGCGGGGCCGAAGCGGGGCCTAAGCGGGCCGACGGGGTCTAGGCGGGGCCGACGAGGGGCCGTAGCGGGGCCTAAGCGGGGCCGACGAGGAGAGAGCGGCGGGAGTGCGACGGTAAGGGCGACACGCAGGGTCGCTAAAAAAAAAGAACGCGCGCCTCGGGACGCGCTTCGGTGGGCCCTAGGAACAGTCCCTAGGAGGGGACCTGCTCTGATTCCATGAGAAGAATTGAACGAGAATGAAATGACTATGAACGAAGTGAGTACAAATAGGAAACCCTAACTGGGTTGTACCCCCTATGGGATACCCCACTATAGCCTACACAAATAAGTAAGCTATAATGTTCTGACATGAATGACACGCGATTCAAGGATGGTCTACGAGTGGAGAGCAAGGTATATCTCGAGGAATGGATACGCAACATGCATCTAGTGTCAATGATATGCACAATGCGATGCTGTAGCCGAACAATAACAAAGACTCACTAATGGCCGATCGACAAGGCGGAATGGCAGATCGGCATCGGCGAACATCTCCACCAGAGCAGAGCGCAGCTCCTGCTCCTGCACCCGGGGAGTGATGTATGAGGACATGCTGGCAGCACGAATCCCACCACTCGTGCCCCCCCCCACCCCCTCCGCGGCCGTGGCTGGGATGTTAGGCCAACTTGCCGCGTGTTCCCACGCTCCATCCCCATCGGGCACGACAGGGCCCTTCCCATCCATCCCGTAACCCCCAAGAGGGAACTGCAGATCCTTTCGCTTCTCAGGATCCAAAAACAGACGAACCCAAATCTGCACGTTAGGGTAGTGTTTCCGCTTCACGTGCCTCCACCCTGCGCTAGTGTTACTCGAACCCCAAGCAAGCAAGTCCCCACATTTACGACATGCACGGCAATCATCGACCATATCGCCAAACATTCCCACAAGTAACCCCGGGTAGGATTTACCAGCCAACTCCTCGACAACCGGATCCGTAGGCGTTACCTCCCTTTGACGCTTCATCCTACGCTGCCTTCCACCCGACGTCCCGCCGCCACGACTGGTACCACCAGCTCGCAACGGCGTGCCCCCAACCCCCTCGTTGCGCTGCGTGTCAGCACGTGACGGGCCGTCCTCTACTGGGGCTGAACCCTCCGCTCTAGCGTCGCCACCCCCCTGCGCCACACGACCAACCCTCCCACCTCCTCGTCCACCTCTTGAGGTACCGCCGGCGTGCCTCCCACCGTGATCTTCGGTTGCTCCTTCGCTCGAACGACCCTGCACGCGGCCAGCCCGTCCCCTTGCCCGGACTCGTCCCCGTGCACTACTTCCTCCGCGTCCTACACAAGTTTCCCCGACCCCCTCCTCATCCACCTCCTCCTCCACCTCCACCTCGTTCTCGCCCGCCGAATCCGCTGCTGCAGCTGCCACCTCCTCTGCTGTAGGCACGTATGCATCCTCTACGTCCTTTTCAACGGGCGGTTGCCCCTCAATCCATGGCTGAAGGGGAATATTTACCCACCCAGAGCCGTTCCCCCCAGATTCCGCCGCCGCATCCGCCCCTCCTGACTCTATGGCCGCCTGCGTAGCACTGCCGACCATGACGCCACGGGCGCGCGTTGAAGTGTGCGCTACGGAGCGTGGTAGTGAGGCCGCTAGCGCCTCGCCGATGCTCTTTTAGTATCACTCTAATGCGTGCAGTGGAACAAGCCTAACTGAAACCCCGCGATCAATGCAGTAAAAGATGCTGGAAACTGGGGGGTGACGTGGGGTGGCGAGAAGTGGCCAATCAAACACTTTAATGGCGCTCTTAGGTTAAGTACGTATATTCCTAGCCGTAAACGCCATTGTATACGTTTTTTAAAACGTTCTGAAAAGCTATTACCAAAGTCTTATAACAATAGTAGGCACTAAGCTTGTGACTTTGCACCTGTAGTTGCTTTGCTGCTAAGTCGTGAAGGGCTATGTGCTGGGAAAAACCTAACGAGGTACGTGACGAGGAGGAGGAGGTGGTGCCTTGGTTGTTTCTTCTTGGCTTGGTTGGATTGGTTGGATGGTTGGAGTTTTGATTGGATGGATGGATAGGATCTGTTCTGTGGTGTGTTTTGGTTGGAACCATGTCGACTTTTACGGCTTATAACTCTGTGCACGGCGCTTCGGGTAGTGTAACCCGAGCTACAAACGGGTAAATGGCCCGACTTCGGGTCGGGTATACCCGACCCGTCGGTTAACGTAAACCCGACCCTAATTACACGGGTCGGGTAGCGGGTATTCAAAACCCGACACGGGTAGACCCTACCCGACCCGACCGGGTAGTCCTCAGCAAGATAAAGACCCGACCCGCCAAAAAGGTCGGGTCGAGTCGGGCTACCCGACCCGAGTCGGGTCAATGCCCAAGCCTAACCTCGACCTCCTGCTGGCACACCGCGTCTCGTACAAAGTGCCAAGCCACCTTAATGTGCTTTGTGCGCTGATGGAGAAAGGGATTGTGGGCAAGGGAGACAGCAACCTCATTATCACAAAACAACGGAATAACCCCCCCATCGCCCAGATGCAACTCCCCAACAAACTCCTCAACCAAATGGCCTCCTTGGCCCCCTCCGATAGAGCCTCATACCCATCCAACGACCCAAATATTGTTGCATATTCGAGTGGCCCAGGTTAAAGAACAAATACCAGAGCAACTTCAGCTTGGTTCGCACACCCAAAAAAGTTCGGCGCCCGCGATGACAGCCGTGCATCCACACAAATGCTAAGGAAGCGCACGGATCCCTATAGGCGTAGGGAAAAGCATCCAACGACCCGAATATTGTTGCATATTCGGGAGGCCCATGTTCAAATACCCTTTTAGAGCAACTTCAGCTTGGTTCGCGCGCACGGAAAAGTTCCTCGCCCGCGATGACGGCCGTGCCTGCACACAAATGTTAAGGAAACGCACGGATCCCTATAGGCGTAGGGAAAAGCATCCAACGGACCAAATATCGTTGCATATACGGATGACCCATGTTAAAATACACATACCAGAACAACTTCAGCTTGGTTCGCGCGCACAGAAAGGTTCGGCGCCTGCGATGACGTCCGTGCCTGCCCACAAATGCCATGGAAGCGCAGGAATCCCTATAGGCGTAGGATAAAGCATCCAACGACCCGAATAGTGGTGCATATTCGGGTGGCCCATGTTCAAATACACCTACCAGAGCAACTTCAGCCTGGTTCACACGCACGGAAAAGTTCGGGGCCCGCGATGACGGCCGTGCCTGCACACAAATGCTAAGGAAGCGCATGGATCCCTATACGCGTGGCAAAAAGCGCTCAACAACCCGAATATTGTTGCATAATCGGGTGGCCCATATCCAAAAACACCTACCAGAGCAACTTCAGCCTGGTTCGCGCGCACGGAAAAGTTCAGCGCCCGCGACAACGGCCGTGCCTGCACACAAATGCTAAGGAAGCGCAGGGATCCCTATATGCGTAGCGAAAAGCGCTCAATGACCCAAATATTGTTGCATATTCGGGTGACCCATATTCAAATACACCTACCAGAGCAACTTCAGCTTGGTTCGCGCGCACGGAAAGGTTCGGCGCCCGCGATGACGCCTGTGCCTGCACACAATTGCGAAGGAAGCGCACGGATCCTTATAGGCATAGGGAAAAGCATCCAACGACCCGAATATTGTTGCATATTCGGTTGGCCCATATTCAAATACCCCTATCAGAGCAACTTCAGCTTGGTTCGCGCGCACAGAAAAGCTCGGCGCCCGCGATGACGTCCGTGCCTGCCCACAAATGCTAAGGAAGCGCACATATCCTCATAGGCGTAGGGAAAAGCAACCAACGACCCAAATAGTCTTGCATATTTGGGTGGCCCATGTTCAAATACACCTATCAAAGCAACTTAAGACAGGTTCGCGCGCACAAAAAGGTTCAGCGCACGCAACGACGGCCGTGCCTGCACACAAATGCTAAGGAAGCGCACGGATCCGTATACGCGTAGGGAAAAGCGCTTAAAGACCCGAATATTGTTGCATATTTGGCTGGCCCATTCTTCAAATACACCTACCAGAGCAACTTCAGTTTGGGTCGCGTGCACAGAAAAGTTCGGCGCCTGCGATGACGGCCGTGCTTGCCCACAAATGCTAAGGAAGCGCACGGATCCTTATAGGGGTAGGGAAAAGCATCCAACGATCCGAATAGTCTTGCATATTTGGGTGGCCGATGTTCAAACACACCTACCAGAGCAACTTCAGCCTGGTTCGCACGCACGGATAAGTTCGGGGCCCGCGATGACGGCCGTGCCTGCACACAAATGCTAAGGAAGCGCACGGATCCCTATAGGCGTAGGGAAAAGCATCCAACGACCCGAATATTGTTGCATATTCGGGTGGCCCATATTCAAATATGTTGAGATAGAGGCGAGGAATGATGCACTATGAAATGAAAGAAGTACAAGTACCAACCCTAATTGGGTTGTACCCCCTATGGGCTACCCCACTACAGCCTACATATATGCATCAGCAATATATAATCATCTGACACACCCCCATAGGCAAAGTGGGGGAGAGCAAGGGGTCACAAGACCAGTCAAGCAAAGCAAAGCAAAGCAAAGCAAGCTCAGGGTGGATCTCAAGGATACCACACAAATTCCGAGCACAAGGTCAAGGCCACAAGGCCAGTTCACATGCAGCAGAGCATATATATATAACAGTGCTAAACAAGCAAGAGCAAGGATATATATATGCAGCAGTACCAGCAAGGTCAAGAGGTAAGCAAGTGAGGCCCAGTGGGCACAAGGCCTAGCAGAGTGCAAAAGCGCTGATGGTCACGAGGCGGAAGTGCCTTGGTGAACACATCAGCAGTGTTGGCCTCAGTGGCCACGAAACGCAGGCGAAGCTGACCACGCTGCTGCAGCTCTCGAGCAAGGAAGTAGCGCAGAGCAATGTGCTTCGTCCTGTGCTCCAGTCTGTGCTCCTGACACAAGGCAATGGTTGCCTTGTTGTCGACGTACAGCACTGGAGGAGAACGAGGCCGCTCTCCAAGGTCAGTCAGCAGGTAGGTGAGCCAGCGAAGCTCCTGGGCAGCCATGGCCGTGGCGTAGATCTCAGCCTCATAGCTGGAGCTGAGAACAGAAGAAGAGCGAGTAGAGCACCAAGAGACAGAGCCAGAGCCAAGACTGAAGGTGTAACCCTGAGACGACCGCTGAGTAGCCTGGTCGTCAGCCCAAGAAGCGTCTGAGTGCCCAGTGAGCACAGGCCGCTCACGCCCTCCAAGCACTAGCCCCATGCCCGACGTACTGCACAAGTAGCGCAACACCCTCTTAGCTGCATCCATGTGCTCCTTCCGGTGACGGCCGGGAGCAACATAGCGTGCTAAGATGCTGAGAGGGTATGCGAGGTCAGGTCGAGTGCAGGTCATCAGGTACATGAGGCAGCCCACAAGCTCTGGATACGGACCACTCGACTCTACGGACTCATCCGAAGGCAGAGCTGAGAGCGAGTGTCCCGTAGGCAGAGGAGTGGACTGAGGCGAGGAGTACGTGAAGCCGAAGCGCTGAAGGACCTGCTGCACCATGTGTGACTGAGTCAGGGTAATGGTGCGGCGTGCTCTGTCCCGGGTGATCCGCAAGCCAAGATAGCTTGTCAGTTCACCCAGGTCTGTGCACGTGTGTCTCTTCTGCAGCTCGGACTTCACGTGGGCGAGTGCAGCAGTGTCCGCAGTGGCAAAGACCAAGTCGTCGACGTACACGAGGATGTAGAACGGCGGCAGCGAGGTGTCGGTGCGCAGAAACAGCGACGGGTCAGCAGTAGAAGGAGCAAACCCAAGAGCCGCAAGTGTAGTCCTCAGTGTGTCGTGCCACTCACGCGGCGCCTGGCGGAGACCGTAGACTGGCCGCCGGAGGCTCCACTGGGTACCAGGAGGGAACGACCCAGTGAAGCCAGGAGGGCGGCGCAGCCAGATCTCCTCGTGCAGGCGGCCCTGCAGGAAAGCAGTGCTGAAGTCAAGAGAGTGTAGCTCGTAGTCACGCTGAGCAGCGACGTGTAGTAGAACCCGAAGAGTGGTCATCTTCGGGGTCGGGGAGAAGGTCTGAAAGAAGTCAACTCCCTGTCGCTGACTGAAGCCACGAGCCACGTAGCGCGCCTTGAAGACAGGCGGAGAACCCGGCGGCCGCTTCACCCTGAAGATCCACATGCCACTGACAATGTTCGCCCCAGGAGGGGGAACAGCGTCAACGTAGGTGCCTGTGGACTTCCAGGAAGCCATCTCTGCGTCCATGGCTGACTGCCACTGAGAGGAGTAGGGACCGGCCATCGCCTCTGCGTAAGAGCGTGGGGTCGGGATGTCTAGAGCATCCGGGTCTCCCTCAGGGGCAACAAGCATGGACACGAGATGGGGCAAAGCGGCGGCAAAGCACTGGAACTCCTCCTGCCTGTCCTCAAGGACGTCCGTGCTAAGAGCACAGTCACCCCCGACGGACGGAGGACAGGCAGACGCAGACGCAGCAGACGCAGACTCAGCAGACTCAGCAAACTCAGCAACAAGACTGGCAGCGTAGTCTAGACGACACGCAGCAGCAAAGTCGACCAGCTCAGCAACTAGGGCAGACG